TCAAGAGAAAGTTTCCATTTCATACAACCTAAGGACTGCTAACTTTATACTCTGAGGTGTAACGTATTTTATCATTATACAAATAAAAGCACATGAGCTTGGGAGTCATAATCATAGTTGCCTCATTTATGTGTAGTGTTGGACATCTGTGCTAAGTAGGCACAAGTATGTATATAATGATATATATTACATGCACATTGTTGTAATGAATATTTGCATCAAATATATTATTTCAGTACATCTGCTGCTTTATATTTGGTTCTAAATAAATAAAGATAGCAATCATTAAAGATGTGCAATGATAGAAAAATCTACTAAGTGATATATAAGACTGAATAATATATCTTTATAAGCTAGGAAAACTGCTTTTAAAAAATGTGTGTGTTTCTTCTTTCAGAAGCTTAGTAGTTAATTATGATGATGAAAAATCTTACATTAAATACATATGGTGATTGCTAACAAAAGCACCAGAACGGAATTTTCCTTTATATAAAGGTATTTTAAACTACTCTGGTGCTTAGATTATTATTCACAATATCTATTCATATTTAACTGCTTAAAAGTTTAGCCTGATTAAGCAAAACATTTACAAATAAGCAATGCCATAAAAACATCTCCACATTTTGGACTCTGGCCAAATCAACTTTCTGTAAACATTCAGTGATGAATTCTATAATTGAATAGCTAATAAACCCATCCAACCTTAATCTTAAACTGAATTCACACATATATAGCAATCAGTTCATTTCAGTAACACAGGTGTTATAGAGCTATAACAAACCGGGATCTGAAGGAAAGAACAAACACCCTATTTCTCAAGTGTTTAGACTAACTGCAGTGCAAACTCAAAGTATGGTTGCTAATCCTAAACACAACCAATAACATTGTTTAAATAAATCAGCAAAATTAAATTTCCAGAGCCAATCTATAACATAGAATTGACTTTGTGAAGTAGTAACTCAGACTGGTCCCAAGTTGACTTTGCAGCCAAGAATTCACACTGTACAATTAATATATTAAAATGTGTCATAAATTTACAGTAAAGATGATGGAGATTTCTAGTGCTACTAGGGATTTGAAAGAAACAAATGAAAATCTTCTCTAGAGGAGAAAAGCTTCATCTTAGGACTCAGAATTCTCATGGAAAATTTCCCCCTAAAACATAAGTAGTTCTAAGAAAAATTATTCAAAAAGTATTCAAGGGAATAAGACACTATATGTAAGAATCAGCAAAAAAGACAAAAAAAAAAAAAAGAAAAAAGAATCAGATCGCAGAAGTAAACCATGAATTCATCAAATATCCATACTATTTGAATAAAAAGTAATCATGCTGGCTAGCATTAAAGAAACAAAATATAAGCTTGAATCTATCTTAAGGAAACTGGAAACAATAAAGGAAGCAAGCACCTTTGGAAAAAACTCAGAGAACTTAACAGAAAGTTAAAATATAAAAATGAAAATAGAAGTTCAGAGAGTGACTATAGGAGATTAGATACAATAGAGGCAAGGCATTTCTGCAATCGAAGCTAGGTAAGAAGAAAGCACCCAGAACGTACCATAAAGAAGAAAAACAGAAACTATGAAAAAGGTTAAGTGATGGTGAAAATAACTGAAAGAGTCTAACATAGTTCAATTACTGGTCCATCAATTACTAATCCAGATAAAGTGAAAGGAATTACTCGGTAAACAGAGTGTGGCTGAGAATATTCTATAACTAATGTGGGATGCCAAACAAAAGATTCAAAAAGTCCAGTGTGGGGTTTACAGAATAAATTAAGGAAATCCATACAAAGAAATATTTTAACGAAACTTCAGACAGCAAGTAAAAAGATAAAAATATTACAGTGAGATAGAGGAAAAAGGTTCTTTTCAAAGGAATAAACACTAGATAGTTTACTTCTTAATAACAAAAATAGAAACCAGGAGATAGAGTTCCTTCAATTTTTAAAAAAAACAGATCACACCAAATATCACAGACTATTGAAAAGAGAAAATCCTCCAAACTCATTCTATTATTCATGGATATGCCTGATATTAAACCCAGAAAAATATATTATCAGAATGGAAAATACCAGAACCGTTTCATTCGTTAATATAGATGCAATATCCTAAACAGAATATTAGCAAATGGAATCCAAATGTATTTTTCAAATAATATCTGTTGGCCAAGAAGATACACCAGTTATGGGAGATTAGGTCAATATTTTCAAAGGCATACATTTAATTCAACACATTAACAGATAATAGGGGGAAAACGTGATCATCTATTTAGATTGAAAAAAGTGTTTAATAAAATCCAATACACATCATAATGAATATTATTAGTAAGCAAGAATTTATAGCAGAACATTCTGAATCTTATAAACAGAACAGATCTAAGATAAATACCATCCTGAAAACATTAGTTTTTTTTATAAACAGGACTAAGACAAGGATACATAGTACCAATATTTTTTATGAAACATTGAAGTCTTAAGAAAGTGTAATAAGAAAAAGAATGAGACATCAAATGTAAAATAGGAAATATATTATTTACATAGAAAACAAAGAGCTTGTAAGTTATATAATAACAGTGAGTTTGCTAATTTATATAATCAATATATAGCATACAAACTTTGTCAGTTGGGTTTCTAATTAACAGCAATAAACATTTTGAAAATACAATAAGATACCATAATCTACAATACTATATCAGTAATCTTTTAAAATGTTTAAGACTGCTAACAGGGAAATTTTTAAAGCTTTATGAACAGATATTTATTAACATCTAAATATATGGAGTAATATATCATGTCTGTGGTCGAAAGACTGATATTTGGAAATAATACATCTCCTGATAAAGATTATATCTAGTACAATTCCAGTGTACACCAAGGTTATTCATGAAACATAATCTGATCCTAAAACTTTATGTGGAGAATTAAAAGGCCAATAAGAGCCAGAGAACAGGGTGAAAGGCACTGCCCAGAAAGTGATCAGTAATTATCATAGAGCTACAATAAGTGAGAAGTGTAAACTGGTACAAGGGTAAACAAAATATTAATAACAACTGAAATAGAAAGCTAAGCATAACCACCCATGCTGATACATGACAGAGGTGAAATTTCAGATCAGTTGGGAAAGGAAAATGTTTAGGGGAAAAACGACTATCCATATGGAAAAAGATAAAATTTGAATCAACTCCATTCCATGTATAAACATAGAGTGCAAAAATTTAAGGATGTGGTAAATGTCAAAAATGAAATGTTTTCAGTGTCTGGTAGAAGAACCTATTTTAAAAGATTTTAGATTTAGGGCCACGAAAATTTCTATAAAATACCTTTAGGGACTTCCCTGGTGGCCCAGTGGTTAACGATCTGCCTTCCAATGCTGGGAACCGGGGCTCCATCTCTGGTAGTGAGCTAGGATCCCACAAGCCTTGTGGAAACTAAGCCTGCAGTGCCTCAACTAGAGAGCCACCTGCTGCAAACTGCGGAGCCCTCTGCGCCCTGGGCCACAGCCAGCTGCAAGCAAGAGTCCACAGGGCTCAAAGGGAGAGCTCGGCTGCCGCAACTACGACCCAACGCAGTGGAAACTAAATAAATACATGCCTTTTAAAAGAAATAAAATACCTCTAGAGAGGGAGCCTGCCTGGCACGCTCACTCAGAGCTTGTCCAGAGCCCAGCCCCTGCTTGTGGCTGAGACGCGGACCCCCCCCCCCCCCGTCACCCCCCCCCCCCTCCCCGGCCTCTGCCTGGAACCCCACTGTGCCCCCGCCCTGCCACCCCCACTTCGGGGAGGAGGTACGCCAGGTACTCCCCATTCAGAGCCCCAAGGTCCAGAGTTCTGTGCCCAAGCGAGTGGCCACGTTTCTCTGCAGGTTTCGCGGTTTGAGGATGCCCTAAACTGTTTAGTTGTCAAACCACACAGGCTACTCACACGGGAAGGGCGGGGAGCTGAACTCAGATGAGCTCCAGGAGCTATACGACGGGCTAAAGCTGAGCAAGGTGAACCAGATGACTATATGCTCCCAGTTACATGAAAGGCGTGCTCTTCCTGGCCAGGGTGGTGGGCATCGTGTGGAGCTGAAGTAGCAGAACTCCAGACGTGTGTGCACATGCGACTCCGAGATGGGACAGAAGTGGAACAGAGAAGGTCCATGTACCACCGTGGGGATCTCCTTCCTGTTTACACAGAGAAGTCCTGCAAGTTGCAGACATCATCACTCCCAACTAGCCTGAGGCTGAGTTGCTGGGTGGGATAGAGCCATGTAAAAGCCTTAGTGGTGACAGACATGCTGCACTCTGGGCACTGACGGTGATCATCACCAGCTCAGAACTTTGGTCCCCAGCACTCTCAAGGTGGCCTGCAAGAAAACCCCATCGGCCGTGCCCCATGTTCTGCAGCAGACCGTCAAAAAATGTGCAAAAGCCACTCTGGGGAAGGACTGAAGCACAGCCTGGCCCAGCTGAGGATGATCCAGAGCAAGAAGGACATAGAGAACTGAGAAACCATCATCCAGGCCAAAGTGCTGTGAGGGCCGTGTGAACCCACCTCCTTAACGTCCAACTTTAGGTAGCCCATTTGTGTCCAGGTGAGAAATGTAACTGTTGCCTTAGAGCTATGACCGAAACTGGATATATATATATCTCTTTTTCTTTCATAAGTGTCCAGCATCTGTTAACTGGGAAAACGTGCCCCCTTATGCGTTTTAACTATAACAAAACAACCACAGAAATTTGTAATTTGGGACCCCCAACTCCCCTCCCCCCACGGCTCCTGGAAAAACCAGCTCTGTGTTCATTTTCCGGGGCGTCTTCCCCAGGGCCCTGGCTGGCTTGGGGTAGATGGTATATCCAAGTCCAACCAGAGGATGAGACCCGGAGAGGCCCCTGTGTCTGCATCCCTGAGTCAGGAGTTAGTGTTCATGTCCAGAAAAATGATGCTAAATATCTTTAAGCTTGCTCTGCCCTCACCTGTGTTCCCGCTTCAGAACTGTTTGCCTCTTCCTTTATGGCAGGTAGGAACCTGGAGCTGGGGGGAGCAGTGTTGCGTTCAGAGTCTCCACTTCTATTTACTGTGTGGACCGGTTCCTGTAAGCTCAAAAGCACAGATGTGCCAGTCACTTTGGCCAGGACCTTCCCCGGACCCCAAACCCCTGCATATCTCACGTGAGTAGGGTCCTGCCTTGTCAATCAGAGCGTCTCTAAGGAACACCCTGGGTAACAGAAGAGGCTGGTGCACCGCTGTCTGAGGGCGCCTGTGGGAAGGCCAGAGCCTTGGACTGCTTTGAGAAAACACCCGACTTATGGTAGAACAGTCAAGGTGTGTTTGCCACCTACTTCTGGTGACGGATGTGTCGTGTCTCCCTGTGGGTGTGCAGGGACAGAGCGCAGAGCAGGCTCCCGCCCTGACCTCCCGCCTTGGTGTGTTTAACCCCACTGGCCAGTTATCTTGCCCCCCTCGGTCCACTCCCCCAGCAGTTTTGCATCCTGTGTCAGCCAGGTACCAGGCAGCTTGAGGGTTCTAGAAACCGGCTGCAGCCCTGCCCCTCCCCACAAGGGGCGGAGGCGGAGCTTCACAGGAGCAGCCAATCAGAGTCCTTGGTTGCTGCAGCCGCGAAAGCCAGCGTGCAGGCTCTGACACCGGTCCAGTCCTCCGCTGCTAGGGTGACATCCCTGGCGCCGCTTTGTCCAGAATTCTGAGGACCCCCCCACTATGGAAGAGGCAGGGCTGCCCACGCTCAACATCCACCCTGACTCTGGGGGTGGCTGAGGTGTGCATCTCCTGGGAGCCTAAGGCTGAAGGGAAGCAGAGGCTTCGAGAAGCAGCTCCCTGGGAATACAGGCTCTCCTAGAGCAGCCCTTGTCCCTGCCTCCAGACCCTCACCTATCTGTGGCTGCGCCCGGTCTCCCAGACGCTCACCTCCTCAGTACTGAGTTCTCTCCTTTGTTGAAAATGCCCCCAGATGCAGGCTGGCTGGTCTCCGCTGGACTCTGCACCCTTTTCCATCACCCCCACTCCGCTCGTGTTCTGAATGTCCTAGCTCTCAGAAGTTAGTGCCTGCAAGCAGAGTCAGGGCTCCTCCGGTCCCTGCAGGGGCCAGCGGGTCAGGGTATGTGGCCCTGTCATGGCCTCACAGGGTCTGCTGGCCCAGGAGGAGGAGGAAGGCCTGGTGGGGGACAGCCACCAGCAAAGCGGTCAAGGGACCAGCCACAATCCCACAGGGCCTTGGGCCCCTACAGCGCCTTTAATGGGAAACACTGTCGCTGCCAGGGAGAGCTGGGGAGATGGCTACACCGCCAGCCAGTGGGAAACCTTGTTTTTCTTTTCTTTCCTGTTTTTTTTTTTTTTTTAAACAGGAAGTGTAAGACTAGAGAAAAAGCCCGAGTGCCTCCTTCTCTTCAATGAGACGGTGAAAACCCGCCCTAAAAACGTGATGTTGGGGGCAGTGGCTTGTTCTGTGTGCACAATGAACTCAAAGAAAAATGCACTCTGCAAACGTTGCTTCTTGGTTCTTTAAGTTTTCTGTCAGAGCCCTGGCCCCCACAGTGGGTTCCTCTCTTAGTTCCCGGGACTATGCAGAGTGAGGAGAATTATTCCACCCATAAAATCATGAACACGTTTGTCTCCTACAACTGTAAAGCCCCAGTCATGAGAGAGGCCGTGGCCTGAGCCCTCTCTCCTAAGAGAAGGAAATCAGGACTGCTAGAGAGCCAGCTTCTGTGGGAAACCAGGTTGCACCTCCCCACCCCAAAAAGTGAACTTTTTGTCATGATGTTGCTGAATCTGTGTATCTAAGGCTAGTTTCCACTGGGAAGCTAGTCTGTCTGTCTTGAGGACTCCTGAGGTTCAGAATTGCCCATCCAGAAGTTACCTGTGACCTGTGGCAGTGGGTTTTGATAGTTTGGGCCCAAGTTAACCTTTTTTTCAATTTCCATAGTTTAGTAACATAGAAAATAATATTTATTTTAATAATTATTATTATAAATGAAATAATTATTATTTTAAGATGAGAGATATATTGGCCCTGAATTGTTGGCTTTAGTAATAAAGTATAGAATTCAAACCTTCTCCTGAAGACCTTGAAGATAGATTACAAAATACCGTCCTTATTTTTTTTTTTTTAACTAAACTAGTATTGAATCATTGCCAAGTCCTGCAAAGGTTGCCAGGTTAGTCTACACTGTTTTTGCAACATGTCAGTCATGGTTAAAATGGGAAAAAAAAATAAATAAATAAAACCTTTAGAAAAAAGAGTTGACCATAAATAAATAAAAAGACACAAATCTTTATCAAAACTGGGAACATATTTATCAAAAGATGTTTTAAAGTAAGTCAAAATGTTACATAATGGGAGAAAATATTTGCAATATACTTAACAAAGTACTAAGATGTTACATATAAAAAGACTTTCACAAAGTAAAATATGAAAAATTTTTAAATGATAAAATAAATGGTCAAAAGGGATGCAAACTTTTCAAAGAAAAAAAAATTCACATGACCAATAAAAATATTAGCAGTGGACATGGAAATGCAGAGAAAAGTTTGCAGTGAAATACCATTTTATATATACTATGTGGCAAAACTAAAATAAATGATAGAAATACAGATTTTGTAAGAATCTAGGAGCTTATTTCATTTGGGATTCTCTCTCTAAGAAAAAGAGATAAAGAATAACTAATACCAAATCTGGCATAAAATTTAATATTTATTTAGAATGAAAAATTATAACAAATTATGTTTTAAGAGCTGGCAAAAACCACAAATGGGCTTGCCACCTGATGCTAGTGGTAAAACTTGCTTGCCAGTGCGGGAGACTTAAGAGAAGTGGGTTAGATCCCCTGGAGGAAGACATGGTAACTCACTCCAGTATTCTTCCCTGGAGAATCCTATGGACAGACAGGCCTAACGGGCTATAGTCTAAAGGGTCACTGAGAATCAGACACAGCTGAAGTGACTTAGCACACACACATCACTAATACCATAAGCCAAAACAAACAAATGAACTTTAAAAGTCTCCTTTTGGACATATCTTTATATGTCCTAAACTTTTTGACTGAATATTTTGTATTGCTCTTCATATAATAAAGATTTTGGAAAATTTTTAGTGAACAGAAAGAAAAATACTTCCAATTTTTTAAGCATGATTGAAGTTTGTGTCTAATATTGATAAAGTAAAAGAGTTTCAATTTTATGGCTTATTATTAGTAATTTTTGTCAAAATTAAGAAAACCTGTTTGTTTTATATATGAACTGTGAGGTTTCAGAGCTTTTGAAATCTTCCTGTACAGGGACATACATTAAAGAATTATGTATTCATTAGTCAAATTACTTACAGGCTCATTGTGTGGCATATTTTATGGCATATTCATCAATGTTAGTATTTTGGGTCACATCAGCAGGAAACCTCTCTTTTTTTAGCATGAGCCATACAGCTGCAACTTAAAAGACAAATGCATCAAATATACTAAGATGTGCTGCCATGTGTTAAGATGCATAAAACAAGGGTGGACATGCTGGTGTACAAACCTGGTTTACAGGTTTATGCCCTACTGAACACTGAATTCTGTTGTGTAAGGTACTTTTTTAAAAAGTATGTATTTATAACTGTACATGTAAATTACTGGATTTGTACCAGACAGGACAGAGCTTCTGTTTTGAATAAGCACCAAGAAGAAAAACATCCTCTACTTTGATTGGAAGACTTTTTTTTAATAAGTAAGTTCCTACATTCTTGTTTTTCAAAACATTTTTCTCCTCTACTTCACATGTATCTTTGTTGCTAGGGACTGTAGGACAAGTTCATATGGCAGCTCATCCTCAGAGCCATAAGTTCTGTGTGGTGAAACCAGGTAAGACTATACCATAAGTGGTTGGAGAACTCTTAGAAGGCATTCCTACACCAACAAGGCAAACAAGAATTAAAAATCCAAGAAAGTAACTCTATAAACCACATAAACACAATTCTCTACTCCCAAAGTACTTATCTCCTTAGCTGAATCCCCCAAAGCTATTGACATGCTATTGGCATGCTATTGACATTGACCAGTTAGGGAAGTATGACTGCAGAAAAAAGGAGTGGAAAAAAGTAACAATCAGCCAATTACAGTCAAAAAACCTTGTACTACAAATTTAATCAAAACAAAACATAAGGTAAATGAATACATTGTTTAAGGACTTTCAAAGGGCTTTGTTACTGATAGGAGAAAGGTTTAGAATTGGAAAATAGATACTTGAGAAAAAAAGAATTCTTAAAAAGTTATAACACATTATATTCTTAAGAAAGAGAGTGGATATAGTTGAGTAAATAATACAAAATAAACTTTATGTCAGAAAGTACAGCTAGTTATTGAAGAGAATAAGTATAATTTTCCAGAAAAATATAATCTGATAGAGTCCCTGAAAAACTATGGACAGAGGTTCATGACATTGTACAGGAGGCAGTGATCAAGTCCATCCCTAAGAAAAAGAAATTCAAAAAGGCTAAATGGTTGTCTGAGGACAGCGTTCAAATAGCTGAGAAACGAAGAGAAGTGAGAGGCAAAGAAGAGGAAAGATATTCCCATCTGAATGCAGAGTTCCAAAGAATAACAAGGGAAGATAAGAAAGCCTTCCTCAGCGATCAGTGCAAAGAAACAGAGGAAAACAATAGAATGGGAAAGACTAGAGATATCTTCAAGAAAATTAGAGATATCAAGGTAATATTTCATGCAAAGATGGGCACAATAAAGGACAGAAATGGTAGGGACCTAACAGAAGCAGAAGATATTAAGAAGAGGTGGCAAGAATACACAGAAGAACTACACAAAAAAGATCTTCATGACCCAGATAACCACAATGGTGTGATCACTGACCTAGAGCCAGACATCCTGGAATGTGAAGTCAAGTGGGCCTTAGAAAGCATCACTACGAACAAAGCTGGTGGATGTGATGGAATTCCAGTTGAGCTATTTCATATTTGAAAAGATGATGCTGTGAAAGTGCTGCACTCAATATGCCAGCAAATTTGGAAAACTCAGCAGTGGCCACAGGACTGGAAAATGTTAGTTTTCACTCCAATCTCAAAGAAAGGCAATGCTAAAGAATGTTCAAACTACCACACAATTGCATTTATCTCACATGCTAGCAAAGTAATGCTCAAATTTTTTCAAGCCAGGCTTCAACATAAACCATGAACTTCAGATGTTCAAGCTGGGTTTAGAAAAGGCAGAGGAACCTGAGATCAAATTGCCAACATCCATTGGATCATCAAAAAAGCGAGAGTTCCAGAAAAACATCTACTCTGCTTTATTGACTTTGCCAAAGCCTTTGATTGTGTGGATCACAGTAAACCGGAAAATTCTTAAAGAGATGGAAATACACCACCTGATCTGCTTCCTGAGAAACCTGTATGCAGGTTGAGAAGCAACAGTTAGAGCTGAATATGGAACAGACTGGTTCCAAATCGGGAAAGGAGTTGTCAAGGCTGTATATTGTCACCCTGCTTATTTAACTTATATTCAGGTCTCCTGCACTGTGGGTAGATGCTTTACTGTCTGAGCTACTGCGGAATCCCTATATGCAGACTATATCATGAGAAATTCTGGACAGGATGAAGCACAAGCTAGAATCAAGATTGCCTAGAGAAATATCAGTAACATCAGATATGCAGATGACACCACACTTAAGGCAGAAAGTGAAGAACTAAAGAGCCTCTTGATGAAAGTGAAAGAGGAGAGTGAAAAAGTTGGCTTAAAACTCAATGTTCAGAAAACCATGGATTGTCATCTGGTCCCATCATTTCATGGAAAATTGTCCCATCAGGTCCAGTCACTTCATGGCAATTAGATGGGGAAACAATGGAAACAGTGACAGACTTTATTTTCTTGGACCCCCAAATCACTTCATATGGTGACTGCAGCCATGAAATTAAAAGACGCTCCTTGGAAGAAAAGCTATGACCCACCTAGACAGCATATTAAAAAACAGAGACATTACTTTGCCAACAAAGGTCCATCTAGTCAAAGGTTTTTTCAGTAGTTATATATGGATGTGAGAGTTGGACTATATAGAAAGCTGAGCACTGAAGAATTGATGCGTTTGAACTGTGGTGTTGGAGGAGACTCTTGAGTCCCTTGAACTGCAAGGAGATCCAACCATTCCATCTCACAGGAAATCAGTACTGAATATTCATTGGAAGTACTGATTGTGAAGCTGGAACTCCAATACTTTGACCATCTGATGTGAAGAACTGACTTATTTGAAAAGACCCTGATGCTGGGAAAGATTGAAGGCAGGAGGAGAAGAGGACAACAGAGGATGAGATGGTTGGATGGCATCACTGACTCAATGGACATGGGTTTAAGTTACAGGAGATGGTGATGGACAAGGAAGCCTTGAGTGCTGCAGTCCATGGGGTCACAAAGAGT